GGCAACAGGTAGTTCAGGGTCTTTTTTGCGAGCAGAACGTAGATGTTCTGCGAAGCAGTCGCCAAGTCTACGCTTCATTCCCCCAATGTAGAGGAGACCACATTGTGAGCAGCGAATGTAAAAGACTAGATTCTGGGAAGTGCAAGTGAAGTGTTTGGGCCCTTGGATACTGGGGAGGGAGGAGGTAAATGGGCAGGTGTGGGAGAAGGGGTGAGAGCGGAAGTGTGGGAGATGGGTCGGACCTGGTTGAGGGCCCTGTCGACAACGGAGCTGGGGAATCCTTGGTTGAGGAAGAAGGTGGACATTTTGGAGGCTCCCTTGTCGAAGTTGGACTCATCTGAATATATGCGATGGAGATGGAGGAACTGAGAGAACGGGATGGAGTCTTTACAGGAAGTGGGGTGTGAGGATGTATAGTCCAGGTAGCTGTGGGAGTCAGTGGGTTTGTAATGGATATTAGTCCAAGTCAGCACGGATTCACTAAAGGGAAATCATGCTTGACAAATCTTCTGGAATATTTTGAAGTTTTAACCAGTGGAGTGGACAAGGGTGAGTCAGTAGATGTTGTGTATCTGGAGTTTAAAAGGCTTTTGATAAGGTTCCACGCAAGAGATTAGTAAGGAAAATTAAAGCTCATGGTACCAGAGATAATGTACTGACATGAATAGAGAACTTGGCAGACAGGAATCAGAGTTGAAATGAATGGGTCATTTTCAGAGTGGCAGGTGGGGTGCCGCAGAGTTCAAGCTGCGGGACTCCAGCTGATCACAACATACATTAACAATTTGGGTGAAGGAATTGAATACAATATCTCCAAGTCTGCAGACAACATTAAGCTGGGTGGCAGTGCGTGCTGCGAGGAAGATGCTAAGAGGCTGCAGGGTGATTTGGACAGGCTGGCTGAGTGGGCAAATGCAATACGATGTGGATAAATGTGAGGTTATCCACTTTGGTTGCAAACACAGTAAGGCAGATTATTATCTGAATGGTGGCAGTTTAGGAAAAGGTGTGGTGCAATGAGACCTGAGTGTCATGGTGGAACAGGAGTTGAAGATTGGCATGCAGGTGCAGCAGGTGGTGAGGAAAGCATACTGGCCTTCATAGTGAGAGGATTTGAGTAAAAGAGGAGGGATATCTTGCTGCAGTCATACAGGGCCTTTGTGAGGTCACACATTGAGTATTGTGTGCAGTTTTAGTCTCCTAATCTGAGGAAGAACACTTACTATTGACGGAGTCCAGTAAAGGTTCACCACACTAATTTCCAGGATGATAAGACTGACATATGAAGAAAGACTGGGATGACTGGGCTTACACCTGTTGGAATTTAGTAGAATGACAGGTGATCTCATAGAAACATATAAAATCCCGATGGGACTGGACAGGCTAGATGTGCGAAGTATATTCCTGATGTTGGGGAAGTCTAGAACTAGGGGTCACAGATCAAGGGATAGGTTAATCAGGACTGAGATGAGGAAGAATTTCTTCAGTCAGAGAGTTGTGAACCTGTGGAATTCTTTACCACAGAAAGCTTTGGGGCTAGTTAGCGATATATTCAAAAGGCCCCTGCGGCTAAAGGGATCAAGGGATATGGAGAGAAAGTGGGAATGGGATACTGAAATTGCATGATCAGCCATGATCATATTGAATGGTGGTGCAGTCTTGAAGGGCTGAATGGCCTACTCTTGCACCTATTTTCTATGTTTCTGTGCTTACAGGGCATCCCAATGAAAGTGCCCTCACCTGTCCAAGACTACCTGAGTGTAGATAATCGCAGAGCCTCATGCAGGGCACATCCTGAGCAGAGGGACCTTAGGCCAGCCCACAGCAAAACCCCAAAACAAAGCCGAGCCTTGGCAAAATGGTTAAAAAGTTCTTCAGGACCTGAGCCGGCACACCATTGCTGCTGGTATATGGACTCAAAACAGCAAAGGAGACCTACGAGGCCTGACTTCAGTAAGAGAATTCATAGGCCAGTATCCAGGAGAGTAGACACCCTGGATGGTCCACCTATATATGATTGGGAACAGTTAAAGTGCAACTCCAAATCAGAACCAATCAAAATAAATGCCTGGTTAAATGGTCACCTGGTTCTCCTGGAGATCGATACCTGCGCACTATATCAGTGGTTGCAGAACCAGCCTTTAACAAGTTTCAAGCTGGACTCCAAACCCTAGGTTTACGCAAGACCCTGGCCAGACTGAGAACATACAACAGGGAACTGTCACAAATTAAGAATTCCGTCCAGCCTCCGATAGCAAGCAAAAACATAGTTGCTGGAAAAGCTCAGCAGGTCTGGCAGCATCGGTGAAGGAGAAAACAGAGTTAATGTTTCGGGTCTGGTGACCCTTCCTCAGAACTGATCCGATAAGAAGCAGTTGGCGCAGTTACCATCGATTGTAGTAAAAGGCTGGGGCCCATGCTTGATGAGGCAGTATTGATTGAGAAAGATTCACCTTGATTGGCTCAACAATTTTCGATAAGAAAATGGCTGCCTGAGTGAAGTCCTAATTAAATACACAAAAGCTTTCCACGAAGGTCTAGGGAGTATCAAAGGAGCCAAGGCCACCTTACATGTTGACCAGAAAGCAATTTTGTGATTCTGCAAGACCCGCCCAGTGCCATTTTCCTTATGGGCAAAAGCAGAGGCAGAAATCAAGAGGCTGGACAGCGAAGGAGTCATCAAATCAGTGCAGTTTGCGGAATGGACAGCACTGGTCGTATCAATTGTGAAGCCTGACAGCTCGGTTTGCCTTTGTGTGGATCTTAAGCGCATGATAAACTGTTTCTGGCAGCTGGATAAATACCCAATCCCTCGCATAGAAGACTTGTACGCAAAACTGGTGGGAGGATTGTCCTTCACGAAGCTGGACATGAGCCATGCGTACCTGCAATTGCAACTAGATGAGGGGTCCTAAGAAGTATGCCACAATTAATACCCATAAGCCTTTGCACCAATATACAAGACCGCCATTTGCAGTATCATCAGCCTCTGCTTTTTTCCAGTGGACGATGGAGAACATTTTACAAGGTCTACCCCTGGGTTGATATTTATCTGAAGATGTGCCAATAACCAGGAAGACCAATAAAGAGCACTTGGAGAACTGGGACATTTCTCAGCTTAAACATTTCACTCCAATGCTGGCCACATGCCTCCTCTAAGCGAGAGAGACAGTTTACTTCAGGGGACAAAGTTTGGTGCCGAAACCACAGAAATGGCCCTGCATGGGTATGAGACGAGGTAAACATGAGGTCAGCTATCATGACATACAAAATTCAAGTAGGTGAGGCGGTTCTGAACAAACATGTGGATCACACGAAAGCTGCTACCTCGGAAACGGAGAAAGAGCAAAACATACCTGGCCCCTCAGAACAGCATCAAAGAAACCTCAGAGTCCGAAATGGATGCAGCCTCAATACCATTACTGGCTGAAGAAGAGGAGGAATCTCTCCCGAGACGCTCCTGGCGCAAGAGATGGGCTACGGTCCGGTACATGCCACCTGTGTCCAAGTCAGAGTCGAAGGAACCAGACCTTGGGCGAAAACGTCCCAGGAAAAGCTACAAGACAAAGAACAGGCCTACATCCCCGGATTTGGTGGGATAGGATAGGGGGGATGTGGAATGTAGTGATTGGAATGAGGGCCAGGTAGATCTCATTGACTATGGGATCTCTGATTGGGGCTGTTAATCTGGGCTAATCTGGGAGCCCTGGCTGACAGATATAAATTGGAGAATCAGAGAGTCTCTTCTCTGTAGGGACTGGCTCTGAGCTGGCTGGCCAGAGCCAATGTACTATGTACATGTAAATGAAGAGTGACTTGGTGATGGGAAACTGGCCTTTGTGCAGCTAGTTCACCTAGCAACATCCTTCTGGAGTTAGTTGCAGTTTTCCAGAAACTTCTGTGCCTGTCAGGGGTAAAAGAGACCTCATAAATTTTGTAGCTGAAAGCTAAAGTCTGCTTCTCTCTCTCCTTCTCTTTCTTACTTGTAAAAGAGAAGAAACTAAAGATTAGATTTTAACTCACTCTCACCTGAACTCAGATCTGTCAGCATTTCAATCTTATTGTCAGAAAACCTGTCTCTAAGAAGTTTTCCCATTTATTCTTTGAGTTCAAACCTTTGGCCCACTAGGATATTTTTCCCCATTTTGCCTTTTTAGACAGAATAACCTCTGTATAGCTATTTTGAGCAATCAGATTTCGCACTTTTACATCCAAAACTCAAAGTTGCTGCTGAGATTATTTAGTGCCCGCTTACATTAATGGAAATTTTGAGACTCAACAAGACAATAAATCACTGTATTAAGTACAGCAAATTTTGTTTTATCCGGCACCTTAAGAACCAGCACTCTCAATAAACCGGCAAAAATTATAGACCTCAAATACCATGTAGTTTACTGTATTATTATATCCAATTATTTGCCTCAATGTAAATATTCTTGTTCAATTGAATGGCCACACGAAATATCAACAGCTGACTCAATTTCAAGTCCATTTCTCCTCAAATATTGTGATCTACCACGATGTCCGAGTAGTCGGTTGGGGGTAAGAGCAAGAAGGTTCTCTGCAATCAAGTTTTATTTAAGGCAAAGTTGCATTATTATTTAAGTGATTTATGCCATAAATAAAGTATAACAGTGATGTGTATTTTCCGCGCATTATTTTTTAATCACTTAGAGTATATTTTTACATTGATTATGTGGACTTCTTGATTATCAGGAATATTTGATTAACTGGCACACTCCTGGTCCCATAGGTGCCGGTTAATAAAAGGTTTGCTGTAACTCCAAGTCTCAATGAGAACAGAAGTTTTATCTCATACTAGAGTAGAACTTATTTTTCCAATTGTACACCAGGTGAAAAAAACAGAATATGACAGCCAAGATGGTTACAATTCTTCCGTTAGAAAAAAGAATTTTGCAACAGATATAAATTCACCATTATACGTGAAAGAGATGGTTTCATTAGATAAATTTCACAATATCATTTAGATTATTTCTTACCACAGTATCCACATTCCAGATCACCATAGACCTTCCTGATCTTTTCAAAAAGACTGACATTCAGTTGTCTCTTCTGCAAGCTGTCAAGTACTTGCTGGAAGGCTCCAAGATCTACACTATCCTTTTGAGCTTCTGTTCTTGATGGAATTTTCTCAAAAGTCAAATGAGTACCAGTTGAATTGCACAAATCTTTAGCCCCATCAAGCTGGACCATTTCAAATGAGTTTTCATTTTCGACAACACAAGATTCATACTCTTTGAGGGAATCAGTACCATCCTGCTCTGTGGAACTAGACCGATGGTTTGTGCTTTCAGAATCTACCACAGTGTCACTGCTGAGAGGTAAAGCTGGCAAGATTTCACCCTTACACTCATCCACAGACCTATGCTCATTGTTTGATGGCATGTTGCTTTCATCCAAAGAAACTTCTTCATGTTGGATGGCCTTGGGACCATCTGAAGGATTGTCAACATTCTCCGAATGGACCTGCATAATTTCTTCTTGTCGAGTCAGAGTCTGTATGGGAATGTTTGCACCTTCATTTTCAAGTTCTACAAGAACTTGGTGCCCATGTACATCTTGGTCACAGCCACTGAAGTTTGTACCATCAACAGCATCCTCCAAGGCCTCTGGCTGAATGTCACCTCCTGACTCCAAAAGATAGAAGCTCTGATTAATGGAGTCATTGAACACAGAATCCTCCCCCAAGTCACTGTGAGCATCCTTGACATGACATTTTAACTTGACAGAGCTGACAAATTTCTTTGTGCACACTGAACAAATGTAGATAAATTTATGCTTGCGAACATGTGCCTCCAGTGAATGGTATTTTGTGGCACCATGATCACAGAGCTCACAGGCAAATGGGCGGTCATCGCCATGGACCAGCATATGCCGATCACGGTCTGATTCATTTTTGAACTTACGCTCACACACATGGCAATCATACAGCAGTTGCCGTTTGCCCTCCCTCGTTAGCAGGCGCAGCTCATCATAGACCTCTTTGACTTTCTCTTCATCCATGTCATGGCTCTCGTGGATGTGCTTGAGTAAGTTCTTGACATCAGAGTATTTCTTTTTACAGAATCGGCAATGCTGCTTGATCTTTTTGTGCACACGTTCAATGTGCACTTTCAGGTGCCCTTTGCTGAGGCAGGTAAAGGCACAGTAGTCACAGCTGAACTTTTCCCCCGTGTGTTTACGTATGTGGACAATAAGGTTCGCCTTGATGGTGCTGGCATAGTCACATTGTGAACATTTGTAAGGTTTCTCATTGGTATGAATTCTGAGGTGAGCTTGAAGTGAATGCTTAAATTTAAATACTTTATTGCAATATTCACAGGTAAAAATCTTCAGCTGTGTGGTCCCTTGTCTGAAAGAACAGAAAGATTCCCCAATGAGTTTTCAGCCGATTTACACAATGTTTTGATTGTTGGTATGTAGCAGAAACCTTGATAATGATTCACTTTAGAATATTAAAAAAATTCAAAAGTTGTAAAGTCAAATCACACTTTAAGAAGTTGAGTAAGTAATCTAAGCTCATGGTCTGGTGTAGTAATGAAAGAGTGCGATCTCTCGGATGAGACGTTAAACTGAGGGTCCGCCTACATTCTCAAAATAACATAAAATATGAGATGACACTATTTGAAGAAGCAGTGTTATAACCAGAATGCTTGTCAATTCTATATTCCTATTTACCCTCAACCAATAACATACCCAAAATATTATTATTTTGTTATTACCTCAAAATAGTTATTACCTCAATGCTGTCTCTGAAATCTTGATATGTGCAAACTGAATCAAAAATACATCAAAACAACAAAAATATTTTACTGTAGAGTGCAATGGGACATCATGAGATCATGAAGGCACAATCAAAGCAAATTTTAATTCTGCAGGCATTTCTGGAATATCTTTCTGCCTAAATCCTCACCATTGAAGTGTGAAGCTGGCTAGCTATTCAATCAGAGGGAACATCACAACAAAGCACAATTATATCCTGATCCATTGGTTACACCCAGCAAAGATCACTTGTAAGCACCAAACAACAGGAACACTGAGAAAAAAAAATCCACAATTACTATAATCATTCTAACTATGATCTTTCAGAATTCTGTAGATACAGGAGTCATCTCACTGGATTGGAAAATTGTGCATGTCACTCTGCCTTTAAAGAAAGTCAAAAGAGGAAAACCAGGGAAATACAGACCAGTTAGCCTAACATCTATGGTGGGGAAATTGTTGGAGTATATAATCAAGGGTGAGGTAACTAAACAGCTTGAACATTTCCAGTTAATCGGGGGAGCAAGCATGGATTCATGACAAGTAGGTAATACCTGACAAACCTCAGGTGAATTTTTTGAAGAGGCGATTAAGATGGTGGACACAGATGTCTATGGATGTTGTTTTATATATGGCTTTCCAGAAGACTTGATAGAGTCCCACATAAGAAACTATTAACCAAGATGGAAGCCCATGGAACTGAGGGTTAATTACTGACACAGCTTGGAAACTGATTGAGTGGCAGGCGACAGAAAGTAGAGGTAATGGGTCAGTATTCAAATTGGCAGATCACAACCAGTGGTGTCCCACAAGGATCTGTGTTAGGGCCTCAATTATTCACATTATTTAATAATGGATAATGGCACAGAAAGTCATATTCATCCAAATTTGCTGATGGCACAAAGTCAGGTGGCATTGCAGTCTATGTAGATGATAGCATAAAATTACAAAGGGATATTGATAGACTTAAGTGAATGGGCAAAATTGTAGCAGATGGAGTTCCATGTCAGTAAGTATGACATGATCCATTTTGGACCATTTTGGGCACTGTCTAGATGGTATGATGTCAAATACAGTGGATGTCCAAAGAGAATTTGGCATTCAGTTACATACATCTTTAAAATGTCACAAACAGGTGCAGAAAATAATCAAGAAAGCTAATGGAATTGGCCTTCATATCTAGTGGACTGGAGTATTATTGCTGGACCGTTAATCCAGAGACCCAGATAATGTTCTCGGGACCCAGGTTCGAATCCCGCCATGGCAGATGGTAGAATTTGAATTCAATAAATATCTGGAATTAAAAGTCTAATGATGCCCAGAATCTATTGTCAATTGTTGGGAAAAACCCACCTGGTTCAATAATATCCTTTAGGGAAGGAAACTGCCATCCTTACCTGGTCTGGCCTACACGTGACTCCAGACCGACAGCAATGAGGTGGACTCTTAACCGCCCTCTGGGCAATTAAGGATGGGCAATAAGCGCTGCCTGGCCAGCGATGCCCTCATCCCATGAATGAATAAAGAAAAAAATGCTCAGTATTGAGTATATTCAAGACAGAGATTAACAGATTTACAGATATTAAAGATATCAAAGGATGTGGGAGTAATGCAGCAAAATGTTTTTAATGTAGAACATAGCAATGATCAAGTTGAATGGTAGAACAGGCTTGATGGGCCAAATCCCTACTATTTCCAATGTTCCTAAGTAATATTCCAAGGTGAGGACAGCCACATTAACATATAATGGTCTCATACTCTAAGAATGCACTGCAGTGGCAGAAGATTAATCTTTTGGATATTAAGGCTGCTAGAAACTCTATTGATACCTGATAAACACTTACTAAACTACTTTTCCATGTTGAATAACAAAAAAAGCTGCTTGAATACAGAACAGTGTTAACAAATCCTCTGAAGTCACTTATCAAATTAATCAACAGATTTCTTCTGGCAGAAGACATTAGTCATTGTAGAAACAAAATCAGAAATTACTGGAAGAGCTCAGCAGTTCTTGCAGCAACTGTGTAGGGAAATCAGAGTTTTGGGTCAAGTGACACTTCCTCAGAATGGGTCACTTGACCCAAAATGTTGAGAAAGGTTGAAAAGAGGTTGCGGGGGTTCAAAACAATGACAGGTCTGGACAGATTAGACAAAGTGAAACTGTTCTCATTAACAGATGGGGCAACAACTAAACGATACAAAATTAAGACGAATGATAATAAAATCAAAACAACATTAGGATAAACCTTTTTTAAATGAAGCAAGTGGTTAGAAAATGGAGTACACTGCCTGAGTGTATGGTGGACAGGCAGATTTAATCATGGCTTTCTAAAGGGAATTGGATAAGTACCTGAAATAGAAAATTTGCAGGGAAGTGGGACAAATTAAACTGTTGTTGCAAAAAGCTAACATGAACTTATCCCTCTTCTGCAACGTAACCATTCTATAATTCTATGCTTCTCTCACGTACTTGACTACTTTCCCTTTGAAAACATTCCAAACATGTTTTTGATTTCCACATTCCAATAGGTGTATACTAGCCTTCAACAATTGTCAGCTCCCTTGACAACTCAACTCCCTTGTTCTTTCCACAGTTACTATCTGTCAACATTAAGAGAAAAAAACAGAAGGAAAAATCACAAGAAGGAATTGCTCTATGCAGTAAGTTCTTATGCATTGCAATATTAAAGGATTCTATTAGGCACTGGAAATGTAATACTTAATAAGAAGAAATATGCAGCTAAAAATTACCAGAGCAGGAGAGTGGAACTCCTGGATAACTCTTTAAAGTGCTGGCTCCTTTCTATGCTACGTGTTTCTAAATTCTGATTTGCACTTTGCTCCAAAGTAAATGACTATCGTTATACACTGTTAGCCATATACTACCGTAAGGGTTTAATAAGGACAATTTTAACTAAACCAACAAGAAACTGAAAATCAGGTGTAACATTGGTTTTGCACTTTGTCAATCCTATTCCATTTAAAGGCAATGAAATTCCCTCCCTTTCAGCAGCTCGGGTGTGTCAACATTGCAATGGCTGCAGCGGTTCATGGAGCTGACCCAGGGCCATCTCCAAGAACAATTAGGGACGGGCAAGAAAGAACAGCTTTGTTAGATTTGTCCACATTCCATGAACAAATGAGAAAATATAATACAAGATGTGGTGTAAAAAAAATCTGCATTCCATCCAATTCCTAGAGGATTTCTGCTCAAATTGTTAGATTATTCTTGCCTTGTTATAACTTCCTGTTTTCAGCTGTACAACTTACTATTCCTCCTACGAATCTGAATATACAACTCTGTTCCTTTACCCAACTCCATTACAAAAATGGCAAAGATTTAAAATTTCTCCTATCAAATACCTTCTGAAAATCAATGTACATTGAATAACAGAGGAGTGTCTATCCTCCAGAAATTTAACTGGGTTGGTCTGACATGACTTTCTGTTGATAAAGCCATGTATTCAATGTTCAGCACATAACTGTCAAAATAATCTAGCCTTAATAAATGCTAGCAACATGTTCAAAATCTTTAGGTCTCCTCTGCTTTTTCAAACCCCACCCCTGACATTTCTCAAATGACTGAGTAGTACTTAAAATTATCCAATAAAGAGAGACATTTTCTAAATCTACAGCACTTTGGAAAATTATGACTTGTGTATCTTCCAATTTTTAAAAATAAATTTCCAATTTTTTTTAACATTACCAATTTGTCCTATTAAATCCACAAAGTTCCTCCCATTGACATATTTTTAATGTTCTCTTGAACCAGGTGCTTTTTGCTTTCATCATCTACTGAAAACATATGTTATCATCTGATAAACCGCAAGGTGATTTATCCCACATTCCTTAAGTATACAGACCAAGTTCTTCAAAGGTACTTGAATGACTAAGAGACATTCAATTTGGAATTAATTCTGTGGTCATCTTCTGCACTGTTTCCAAAACATCGATTATCTGATCAAAACTGAACACTGTATCTGAAGAAAGGCTGAACTAAGGTCTTATGCAGGATGGAATTTGCATGGCCTGCTTTATAGTTTATCTTCATATAAAGACACCAGTACAATATTTGTTCTACATTTTCATCGATTGGTCATGAACTGTCAGAGGTCAATTAACAATCAAGAACCTGACACAAATGTTCTGAGGGCAAGTATTTCAATCACAGCATGGCAGATGGTGAAATCTGATTTCAATAAAAATCTGGAATTGAAAGCTATCCTAATGGTGACTATGTAATATTTATTCATGAAACTGCTTCTATGTCACGAATGTCCTTTGGAGAAAAAAAATCTGACATCTTTATTTGTGTAGGTCTGGCCTGCATATGAATCCATAGCCACAGCAATGTGGTCGACTCTTAACTGCCTTCTGAGCAATTAGGGATGGGAAATAAATGATTACTAAGCCAGCAACACCCACATCCATGAACGAAAAAGCAATTGTATTCTGCTATGTATCAATATATTTAATTTTATTATTAGCATTCTACCATTCTGTACAGTGATAATGGTGTTGCTGATTAATCATAATGAACTGTTTCTATCAGTTTTTCTTGGTTCATTCATGAAACGTGGGCATCATTGTCTGGCCAGCATTTATTGCCCATCCCTAGTTGTCCTTGAGAAGGTGGTGGTGAGCTACTTCTTGAACTATTGCAGTCTACGTGCTCTGGATTGATGCACAATGCCATTGGAGAGGGATTTTGACCGAGTGACAGTTAAGGAATAGCAATATGTTTTCAAATCACAATGGTGAGTGACTTACAGGGGAACTTGCAAGAGTCCATGTATCTGGTGCCCTTGTCCTTCTATGTGGAAGTAGTTGTGGGTTTGAAAGGTCTGTCTAAGAATCTTTGGCAAATTTCTGCAGTGCACCTAGTAGATAGTACAAACTGCTGCTACAAGTGTCAATAGTGAGGGACTGGATGTGGTACCAATCAAGCAGGTTGCTTTGTCCTGGATGGTGTCAAGCTTCTGGAATATTATTGAAGCTGTACTCAGCCATGCATGTGGGGAATATTCCATCACACTCCTGACTTGTACCTTGTAGATGCTGGACAGGCTTTGGGGAGTTACTTGTCGCAATATTCATAGCCTCTGACCTGCTCTTGTAGCCATTGTGTTTATGTGGTGTATCCATTTAAGCTTCTGGTCAATGGTAACCCCAAGGATGTTGATAGTCGAGGTTTCAATGATGGTAATATCAGTGAATGTCAAGGAATGGTGGTTAGGTAGTTTCTTGTCATCTCAAGCATGGATATTGTCCAGATCCTGTTGCATTTGAACTTGGACTGCATCAGTAACTGAGGAGTCGCGAATGGTGCTGAACAGTGCAATCACCAGCAAACATCTCTACTTCTGACCTTATAATGGAGGGAATGTCATTGATGAAGCAGCTGAAGATGGATGGGCCTGGGACACTATCCTGAGGAACTCCTGCAGAGATGTCCTAGAAATGAGACGGCTGACTTCCAGCAACCACAAACAAGTTCCTATGTACCATATAGGACTCCAACCAGTGGTGAGGTTGCCCTTTGATAAGCATTGATTTCAGTTTTTGCAAGGGTCTTTAATGCCACACTCAGTTGAATGTGGCCTTGATGTCAAGGGCTATCACTCTCAACTCACCTCGGAAATTCAGTTTGTTTGTCCATGTTTGAACCAAGGCTATAACGAGGTCAGGAGCTGAGTGGCTCTGGTGGAACACAAACTAGGCATCACTGAGTAAGTTATTGCTAATCAGCTGCTGTTTGATAGTCCTATTGATGACACCTCCATCACTTTACTGATGATTGAAATTAGATTGATGGGGCAATAATTGGCTGTATTGGATTTGTGCTGCTTTTCATGTACAGGACAGACGTGGGCAATTTTTCACACTATCAGATAGATGTCAATGTTGTAAGTGTACTGGAAGAGCTTTGGCTAGGGGAGTGGCAAGTTCTGAAGGACAAGTCATTGAAATCATCCACCCAGAGTACATTTTGCTCCCTTGCCATCCTCAGTGCTTCCTTGAAGTGTTGTCCGACATGGAGGAGTACTGATTCATTCGCGGTGTTAGTTTACAACAGACCCAACCATGATACAAGGGAAACACCATCAGAAGAGAGCTTTGGGAAGTACAAGTACAAAATCACCTGCTCCCCCCAAACATTTACAGTTATCACATGTTATGTCTCAATGTACAAATACGCTAGATCCCAAAATACTCACTAATTTGTATCAATACCAACTGATGCCAGTACAACCTTAGGGAATATATTTTGGAGACCTGTATGTTGAACTGACACCAACTGCAAGAAAGAAAAAGACTTGCATTTATATAGCATTTTTGAAAACCATCAGACACCTAAAAGAGCTTTATAGCCAATACAGTACTTTTGAAGTGCAGTTACTGATGCATGGTAAGAAACACAGCACAGAAACGCCTATAAATAGCACTGTATTAATGACTGAAGAATGCACGTAAGACAGGATATTCTCTTCTTTGAAATAGTGCCATGGAATCTTTTACATCCAGCAGAGTAGCAAATAGGGACTTGTTTTAACATCTCATTCAAAAGACCACACCTCCACAAGTGTAGCACACGTTCAGTACTGCATTGTTGAGCCAATCTTGTTTTTCTGCTCAAGCACGAATGAAACTTGACCTCACATCTTACAACTCAAAATTAAGGACATTTCCTACTGAACCACAACTGAAATATCAACAGAATCCCCCAGTTCCTCTTTCTAAATCCAGATGCCCATCAATAGTCAAGTAAACCGATTACCGACTACATACGCAGCTATCTCATTTGTGCTCGTTCTTGGTTATCATTACCTTGCATCCACCTGCAATGGTGGAGGTAATAATAAATTAGTTGAAGCAAAAGATTCTGCGTCATCCAAAGCTTTTTTTTCTGTATGCAGACACACCTGAAAGAATTCTGAGGCAGTTCCACTGGTGCTTGCTGTATAGCATATTCCTGGTAACCCTTGCGTAAAGATGAATCTTGGCCAATAGTTTCTGGATCAGCTGCTGCAGTTTCCTCAGCTGGTGTGGCCTCTACAGGAATAATCTTTGTGGCACCTGAAGTACACAAACAGATATTTCAAGTCATCACAAAGGTTAGCAGGCACAAGGCTTGGCAAAAATAACATTTTATTTAGATGTAAACATGGGCATTCCTTCAAACAGATTGATCAGCATTTGAAATTAGATTTGTCTGAGATAGTGGACTTGAAATTTGAGATGTGCTGGCTGTGGGGATGGGCCTGATCTGAAAGTGAATGGGCCACGCAGAAGAAATAAGCTCAGTGTGTTGTTGGTTGCTCTTGAAAATCAGCCACTTAATTCCATGCAATGTCCAACTTTCCAGTTCAATCAGCAATGGCAAACATGATTTGGACATATATGACTTGATCATAACTCTAGTATTTAAAGTTGAAAGAGCTGGAGCTGGCCAGAAGAAAACCGAAAGTATCGGAAAGGAGTTCAGACACACAAAGGTGCACTTTCACTGTCATTTCCTTAGATATACTTTTGGGGCCTGTAAGTAGATGGAGAAAGGTGCACTTCCATAGCAACATGAGCAACAAACTTGCAGTTGAGACCATGAAGGCATAATCAAAGGTCTTGGAGGAAATCAACAATAGAATCATTTAGCATGCTCTTGGACTGAATGCAGAAGAGGTTTTAATCACGTAAACAGGTGATGAAAATATAAGCATTGTGGCATACTCATTACATTTTGCAGGGTGCATCACCCCACCCCACCCCACCTGTTCTGCTTTATCAGTGCCACTTCATTCTACCAGTTCTCACACGAACTTGTTACAGGTAGAATTTTGGAATAGATACAGCACACCGTGTTAGCTTTCTAAAAATCAGCTAATTCCACTCCCACACCCTTTCCATAAAGCTCTATAAAATTTCTCTCTTCAGTGCTTATTCAATCCCCTGAAAACACCAATTGTATCTGCACCATCAGTGCAATCTACATCCTAAATACTCAGGCACAACAAAGCTTTCCTTAACATAGCCATTGGAAAAAGAATCAATCACCATAAATTGATGTCCTTATTTTCTCAACCCTTCAACCAATACTCTGTCCAGGATTTTGAACATTACTGTTAATTCTCCTCTTAACCTTCTCTATTCTAAGGGGAACAACTGCAGCTTCTCTAAGGTATCCACATAACTGAAATTCTTTATCCCTAGACCAATTCTCGTAAATCTTTTCTGTATTGTCCCCAGTGCATTTACTTTCTTTTTAAAGTGCACTTCCTAGACTGGATACAATACTCCTGCTGAGGCTGAAGCAGAGATTTTAAATGGTATGTTTTTCTACTTTATACGTTCCATTATAAAACCCAGAATTCCATTTGTGTTTTTAACCACTTTCTCAACCTGTTCTGTCAACTTCAATGATTTGTGCACTTACAATCCCATATCTCTTGGTTCCTGGAGTCCTTGTAGAATACTGTTTTTTACTTTATATTGCATCTACTTGCTATTCCTACCAAGATATATCAGTTCACATATCTGAATTCAAATTTATCTGCCACATGACAAGCATTTCATCAGCCTAAATTCACTTCAAGTCCATCACAAGCCTCCTCTCTGTTCACAATACTTCTAAGTTTTGTGCCATGTGCTACTTTTGAAATGAACAATTAATATCCAATTTATTAGAGCAAACCAAGTAAAGGAGTAGTCCTAGTAAGATTTTGGGAGAGAACCAAGGATATACCTTTCTACAAACCAAAAAACAAACATCCATTACTATTCTATTTCCTGTCAGTTCGCTAACGTCATACCCATATTACCACAGACCCTCTTATTTCCCAGATTTCAACTTAGTTGTCAATTGAATATGTGGCTATTTATCAAATAGCTTTTATACCACAACAATCACATTACCCTGATCAATCATCTCCGTTAACTCATTGAAAAACTCATCAACTTAATTAAATATGATTTACCTTCAGCAGAGAAAAGAGGGGGTGGGGAATGAAATATTTCTGCATCTACCATTACAATAAAGCTTTTACTTGACTGGTTGTAGTATGGGTTACCTCAAAAGAACTCACACAAAACAATGGCAACTGTACTACAAGCTCAATCATTGAAGGTCAAGTACTTTGAAAAGAAATAAGGCAGTAAACAAATAAAAGCTTATTGCTACTCACCTGGAATAGCTTCATGTGCTGCAAGAACTACACTGATAATTGGCTTCTTTCCTCCTGAATTTTGATCAAGATCCTTAAATGTCAAATTTTCATTCTTTTGTAAGCGTGGTCTTTTCATTGATCTTTCTCTTTCATCATCCAACTCTACTTCAGGATCTGTTCTGTCTACAAAGAGAAACAGAGATCCATTACAGTTTTGATACACCAGAATTTATCCTTCAACCTGTTCCGATCCTAGTACGATTAATTTTGATTGCAATTCAGAAATCAATTAGTACTATAAAGGAATGAAGCAAAGTAACATTATTGTGCCATGGAGAGTACGATCAACATATTAAATTCCCAATTTTAGCCATGCAATCAGGAGTCCCCTCACAATCTCTTGGAATACAATGGTTGCTTTCACATTTCACGTTATCATTGTGCTGTTTCCTTCATATTTTCATCATTTACTTACCTCCATCCAGGTCATGTTTTTACCTTTATTTCTCAATACTTAATGGATAAATGTCATTGAAATTCAGTAGAAAGATAAGGAATGGCCCAAGGAAGAAGTGTACAGTTTCTGACAATGATCTGGATTCAGATCAGGATTCTGGAGTATTTTTAAGTATCTGTTGACACTGTTTGATATGGTGAAGTGACTTTCTTAAGAATCTTGTGGATTGTCTCAGACACTGTGATGGACTTTGTCACAACTGGCAAAATGTCAGCAGTTTTCAGAGTAGTTAAAAACTGTCCTGAAGGCTCTTCAGTGGGATAGATGTTTTTCATAAGATTAATTATTTACATGGCTGTTTAGTTACAAAGCATCAAGTAGGTAAAAGCCTCAAGGATGAACTACATCATTGCAATAACATTGAATTAACATAGCATGTCAGAGAGATGCTTTTCCATTTCACTTTTAAGTGATATATTCAGACTTCCTTTCCTCTTCTCCTGAAAATCCTCATAATGTAAAGATATGAATCCTCAGATTTAGAAGTTATTTTAGAATTTCAGTAGTGCGATTCTGGCCCTTCGATCAACTCATTATTTCTTGTTATTCCTTCATGGGATTTTGGTATCATTGGCTAGGTCAGTATTTATTGTCCAAGCTTAATTGCTCTCGAGAAGGTGGCAGTGAACTATTTTCTTGAACCACTGGAGTCCATGTGGCAAACCTACAGTGCTGCAGGAAGGGAGTTCTAAGATTTTAACCTAAGCACAGTGAAAGAACCACAATATAGTTCAAGGTCAGGATGGTTTGTGGCTTGGATTGGTACTTGCAGCTAGTGATGTTCCCATGCATCTGCTGCCCTGTCCTTCTCGGTGGTAGAGGTCACAGATTTGGAAGGTGCTCTCAAGGAAGTTTGATCAGTGTTAAAAAAAAAAAAAATTTTGAGTGTTATTGGAGCTTATCCATTTAGGTGATAGGAAATTCTGGACAGATCACTTGGCATCAACCTAGGCACCGGAAAAGACAACGGCAAAAACAGCCATGTCAACCCTGCAAAGTCCTCCTCACTAACATCTGGAGGTTAGTGCCAAAATTGGGAGAGCTGTCTCACAGACTAGTTAAGCAACACCCTGACATAGTCATTCTCACAGAATCATACCTTACAGACACTGTCCCAAACACCACCATCACCATCCCTGGATATATCGTGCCTCAATGGCAGACCCAGCAGGGGTGGCAGCACAGTGGTATACAGTCGAGAGGGTATTGCTCTAGGAGTCCTCAACATTGACTCCAGACCCCATGAAGTGTTATGGTTTCAGATTAAACATGGGCAAGGAAACCTCCAGCTGGCTAACACATACCGTCCTCCCTCAGCTGATGAATCAGAACTCCTCAATGTCCACCACCAAGAGTGGCCTGACAGCAGTACTACTGATTGAACTGGTCGGATCCCAAAGGACATAGCTGCTAGACTGGGTCTGCGGCAGCTGGTGAGGGAACCAATGAGAGGGAAAAACATACTTGATCTCATCCTTACTAATCTGCCAGTTGCAGTTGCATCTTTCCATGACAGTATCATTAAGAGTGACCATCGCACAGTCCTTCTGGAAACGAAGTCCCACCTTCACATTGAGAATAACTTCCATTGTGTTGTGTGGCACTATCACCGTGCTAAATGGGATAGACTTCACACAGATCTAGCAACTCAAGACTGGGCATCCATGAGGTGCTGTGAGTCATCAACAGCAGCAGAATTGTACTCCAGCAAACAGATGGTAGGAATTGCCGATGCTGGAGAATCTGAGATAACAAGGTGGAGAGCTGGATGAACACAGCAGGCCAAGCAGTATCAGAAGAGCAGGAAAGCTGATGTTTCAGGTCTGGACCCTTCTTCAGAAAACGAAACGTCAGCCTTCCTGCTCCTCTGATGCTGCTTGGCCTGCTGTGTTCATCCAGCTCTACACTTTGTTATCACTGTACTCCAGCACAATCTGTAACCTCATGGCCCAGCATATCCCCAACTCAACCATTGCCATCAAGCCAAGGGATCAACTCTGGTTCAGTGGAGAGTGCAGGAGGGCATGCCAGGAGCAGCACCAGGCATACCTGAAGATGAGGTTTCAACCAATTATGCCTACTTGCACGCCAAACAGCAAAAGCAGCAAGTGATAGACAGAGCTAAGCGATCCCACAACTAACAGATCAGATCTAAGTTCTACAGTCCTGCCACATCCAGTAGTGAATGGTGGTGGACAATTAAACAACTCACTGGAGGAGGCAGCTCCACAAATATCCCCAACCTCGATGATGGAAGAGCCCAGAACAGCAGAGCAAAAGATAAGGCTGAAGCATTCGCAGAAATCTTCAGCCAGAAGTGCCGAGTGGATGATCCAACTCGGCCTGGTCCAGTGGTCCCCAGCATTACAGATACCAGTCTTCAGCCAATTCGATTCATTCCATGTGATATCAAGAAATGGTTGGAAACTCTGGATACAGGCCCTGACAATCTTCCGGCAATAGTACTGAAGACTTGTCCTCCAGAACTTGCCACTCCCCTAGCCAAGCGGTTCTAGTATAGTTACCACTCTGAAAAATGTGGAAAATTGCCCAAGTATGTCCTGTGCACAAAAAGCAGGACAAATCCAACCCGGCCAATTACCGCCCCATCAGTCTACTCTCAATCATCAGTAAAGTGATAGAAGGCATCATCAATAGTGCTATCAAGCAGCACCTGCTCAGCAATAACCTGCTCAGTGACACCCAGTTTGGGTTCCACTAGGGCCACTCAGCTCCTGACCTCATTACAGCCTTGGTTCAAACATCGACAAAAGAGGTTAAGTCCAGAGGTGAGATGAAAGTGACAGCCGTTGACATCAAGGCATAAAGGAGCCCTAGCAAAACTGGAATCAATGGGTATCAGGGGGCAATATCTCTAGTGGTTGGAGTCATACCTGACATATAGGAAGATGGTCGTGGCTGTTGCAGGTCAATCATCTCAGGTCCAGAACATCTCTGCAAGAGTATCCAAGGCCCAACCATCTTCAGCTGCTTCATCAATGATCTTCATCATAAAGGTCAGAAGTGGGGGATGTTCGCCGATGATTGCTCAATGCTCAGTGACTCCTCAGATACTGAAGCAATCCATGTTCAAATGCAAAAAGATCTGGACAATATCCAGGCTTGGACTGACAAGTGGCAAGTGACATTCGTGCCACATAAATGCCAGGCTATGAGCATCACCAACAAGAGACAATCTAACCACCATCCCTTGACATTCAATGATGTTATCATCACTGAATCCCACACTATCGACCTTCTGGGTATCATCATTGACCAGACCTCAACTAGGCTCACCACATAAACATAGTGGCTACAAGAGCAGGCCAGAAGCGAGGAATACCGCGGTGAATAACTCGCCTCCTGACTCCTCAAAGCCTGTCCACCTAGGCACAAGTCAGGAGTGTAATGGAATACTCCCCACTTGCCTGGATGGGTGCAGCCCCAACAATGCTCAAGAAGCTTGACACCATCCAGGACAAAGCAGCCCGCTTGATTGGCACTGTAAGCACAAGCATCCACTCCCTCCACCACCGATGTGGAGTAGCAGCAGTGTGTACTATATACAAGATGCACCGCAGAAATTCACTAAAGATCCTCAGACAGCATCTTCCAAACGCACGACCACTTCCATCTAGAAGGACAAGGGCAGCAGGCATATGAGAACAGCATCACCTCCAAGTTCCCCTCCAAGCCACTCCTAGCCTGACTTGGAAATATATCGTCATTCCTTCACTGTCGCTGGGTCAAAATCCTGGATTTCCCTCCCTAATAGCATTGTGGGTCAACCGACAGCAGGAGGACTGCAGTGGTTCAAGAAGGCAGCCCACCACCACCTTCTCAAGGGCAACTAGAGATGGGCAAGAAATGCCGGCCAACCAGTGATGCCCACATCCCACAAATGAATAGAAAAAATAACTGTCACCACAGAGATAGTAGGAACCGCAGATGCTGGTAAATCTGAGATAACAAAGTGTAGAGCTGGATGAACACAGCAGGCCAA